CCAGTTTATAACTGAAGTGAAACCGGAGAAGGGAGTGAGTGTCAATTCTCCTGAAAATAAATTCTACTCTCGAATGAATTCTAAAGACGTCGTCACTGGCCGGGTGCATCACGGAGATTCGACATATTTGAATCGAAAATGGTCAAATCTTCGACATAGAAGAGTTGGACTGAAAAAGCGAGAGGTGCGGACTATAACATCCGCGGGTCGTGTTATTTTTATCTCATCGTTATTTACTGTAGCCTAAGGTGGTTAATGGTCGCTGGTTAGGTATATTAAAATTTAAAATGTGTTGACTGTTTACCGTTTCGGTAAAATGTTTGATGTTCGTGCTACGATTGCAATTTACAGTTAACTATCAGTGGCAGTACTAGTGGTACACTAGTATTACAGTGGCAGGGGATAGATTCACCCAATAACCCTTTTTTAATATTTGAGAGATGAAATAACCATAAATTATATTTTTAATAATTAAATAGTAGATGTTAAAAATCAACTATATTCCCCCCCCTCAAAAAATCATTTGACCACCAATTAACTATATGGAGAAGGAGACAATACCAATTTTAAGTTTAACAAAAGATCAACAGATAAAGTAAACCACCCTGCAGGTCAATATATCAAACTTTATGATGTTACTGTTGCATCAACAGTGTTGGGATATGAAATGTATCAGTGATAAAAAATTAAACATGACATGGTTGTGTAGGATGTGGACTTTTTAGTAGCACTTAAATTGGTGTGGAGGGGAGATAACTTAACTTAAATACCTATTTAGAAGATAATTTGTTTGCACCACGATTTAATATAGTATAATGGTTGCCCAACGAGATATGATAAGACAGCCTGACGGCATAAGATTTAAATCTTTACTAGCGCTTCTGGTGGACTATTTTTTTTGTACTTGTCATTTATTCATCTTATTAATGTCTGTATACATTAGTTATCAAATATCATAAATAAATAATAATTAATTAACTAACATTTTAAAAATTTTAATTTACCACCTGCAGGCTGTAGTGCTGTAAGTAAAAATAGATCACTTGACTTTTGGATTTAAATCGTATGGCGTGTGATAACATTTTTCTAATGTGTCAACCATATACTATCATAAATCGTGGTCTGCACTCGTCTGGTTGTATCGTAAATCGTAATTCATAGAAGACTGTTAGAGAAATGATACAATCTGATCAAAATATTTTATAAGCAAAAGTAAACAAACTTTTAATATTGTAATTATAATGATACAATTTCAAAAAAAAAAAAATATATATATAGAATTTAATAGGTATTTTTTACATTTAGTTGGATTTCGACCTTTAGATGGTATTTAATCCGTAATTTTTTTCTCACAACTAGAAACAAAATGTCAAATAATTTAATGAGCTAAATTGATTTGTAATTAAAAAAAACAGAGGACGTCGCTCTGCTGTAGTGAACTATATTGTATCACAACGTACTCACCATACTCCGCCTGCGCCATAAACAGTAATTGGGTAAACTTATTCCTGGAATAGAGTATAGAATTCAATGAAAATAATCATTGTATCAGATGAAAAATGATTTTCAGAGGAGACTTTTTTATATTTCTAACGATACCTAGGTAAATATTTTATTATTTATTTATGTTGCTATAAGTAATTATTTTTTCTATTAGGGAGTTTGATCTACTTACTTTTTGCCAATAATATTATCATATATATTATATGATATTATTTCATTTTTACAGTACTAGGTACTGAATTTCTACGAATTATTTTTACCTTTTAGTTTTACCACCCAAAGTACCAGCTACTTCAATTTTCTAACATAAACCACCTGCGAAGTGGAAGATCTAAGCATTTTTTTTTAGCATAAAATAAGGCAAAAATAAAAACAAATCATTCATTATAAATACTATAGATTTCTCACTGGACGGTTTTTCGGTGGTGCAAAATATTTACTGCCGATAGATATCATGGTTAAACGACTAGCGATTACAACGGCAATGTCCATTACTAATCAGTAATCACTCACCAGCACCTAGCATTTATATTTTATAATCAATGGAAAATTCAATACATTCGTCGCTCCTTCTCACAATCTAAAATAATAATAAAATGTTGATTGTTATTAATATTTATTATTAATTTAGTTCTTCTATATAATTTACGGTTATAGGTTGAAACTTGCAGTGTTGCAGTCAATTGTCTGAGCAGTGTCCTAATAATTGAACACACCTAAAATAGAGTTGTATTATAACGGACTATACATTATAAAATATTGGTAGGAGGTACCCGTTAATACTACAAAATAATTTCGTAGTTGCTACTTACTAAAAGTATAGGTACATGTCACAGAATTAATTTAACATTCCACGTCAGTGTTACCATACAGTTTTATTGGTGGTAGATGCACATACAACAGACATATTATAATATATTATATAGCTAGGCACTTACCTGAATTACCTAACGGTTTTTCGGTCGATTGACAAAATTAAAACATATGTTGTAGGCAGAATCCGGCATTATAGGGGAGTTTTTGGTATCAAACCGTTTCTGCTGCACACTTGGATGTCAATCACGTCGTCATTCGACCAGAAACATTATTAATTATTTCCAAATAAATATCAAAATAATCGACAGTCTCGTTTCATTATTTTTAGTACATTACGTAGGTACGTTTTAAATAAACAAAATCCAATCATGGATGTATTATATAGTATAATATGTTGAGATAGAACAATGGCAAAATAATAATATGTCGACGTAGAGGTGTTTTTTTTTCATTTTTGTTGCACATACCCGAAATTATCTCGTTACATTGTTATACGACTAAAATTATTGCAATTAAATATTAATAGAAAGTAACGTGTACAACAAATTTAATTTAAATGTTAATAACTGGTGGATGGGAAATGCCAATTTTCCGTATGCTGTACTCAAGGGATACATAATATTTTGAATACGCACCGTGTTCAATAATTTCTAGTAGCTAGGTACCTATGTATTTTGTTCGACTCATTTCCAATGTTGGTCAAATATCGATTTCATCTGCTAAAACGAGAAGGATTTCTTTTCAATAAAATGTACCTGCATGTTATATCGAATTTATAATTTATATAATATGTACTACTGGAAACTGATGAAAATGTAATTAGACAAACAATGTTTATAATAACATAAATAAAGCTAAATAAATGTATCACTTTATATTCATCCTAAATTCCCACAAAACATTACAATATAAATGGAACTGTGGTTAATTTTTGTGCCATGTCATAAATGTTATTATTTGGTGAATATTAAAAAAAAACATATACCTAATAATAATAAACAATAATAATAATATATAATTAATATATTATAATAAAAATGCGATAAAACTATTAAAAAACCAACTTCTTATTATTGATTTTTTTCAGATTTTTAATATTTAATACGCATTTGGGTGGTTCGCTTTTGTTGTTATCCATACGTTGTGTACTCGTATTACATGTAAAATGAAATATTACAGTGAAATAATAATATATTGTGTTACATTGGATAGTATACCTACTTATTTAAGTGTTTTATTTTTTTTTATGTTTTTGCTAAGCCATTACTATTTAATTTTTGAAAAATACGTTTGTTACATTAGTTTACGGGGCTTATGGTTTATTTAAATAAGAAGTTTGTACCCAGAACCACTATATACAGAATGTATAAATAATGATTGCAAACAATTTATTGAATCCTGTTTTTGATATTTAAGTTTTAGGAAAACCGTATACGCGTTTGGTTAAATTAACATAATATACTCCAAAAAATAGTTACATTTTACATGACGTGGAATACGATTATAATAATTTTAAAATGATATTATAAAGGAATGATAAAGTTAATACGTCATTTCAAACCTCCCGTACAGTATTAATAATAACAATAATAAAAACGAAAAGGTAAAATAATGAGTTTTAGAAAAATGTAAATGTATATATATGTATATAGGAGTGAAGTTGGAAAAAAAAAAACAAAAATATGACAGCTGTATGTTTGATACTATATAATTTTATTAGCTCCATCTGCACGACGATAAAACCAGGTGGCGCGTGTGCAGTCAAAATTAAATATTCATTTTTCATTTGGGACTTGATGTAAACGGGGCCGTGGTGGCGCGGAGGGCTTCCAAATAAAAATCCACTATTAGGTTTCATCCATCCGGCACAACAATGGTTTTAATTGTGAAATTAAATATTAACATTGTTTCCGACTTTCGGCAAGAAAGAAGATTTGTTCGTCATCGAGTAGTGAATAAAAAAAAAAAAAAATTATGGATTCATCGCAATAAAACAAACACACTAAGTTATACATGATATATATTTCCAAAGGTAGGTACAATATAATATAATATTATTAAAGATTTTTAACTACAGGGTGTTAGCATATTTTCAAGCGGTGACTAGCATATTATTTATCATGATAATATAACAATATTGTAGGTACTTAAATAATATGTTTTATAATATATATACAGCCGGCGATATTATTTACGAGAATCAATATAGACATCGGACCACGCTCTATCCGTATATAATATGATTTGCTTATGTACATGATATTATATTCAAACACTAAACAATTTTTATAAATACAAATTCAATAAAAATATGTTACAATAAAATAGTAAATAATAATAATTATTTAACAATGATTGAAAATTTTTTTTCAAAGTTTACAATGTAAACAATAGATTACAACGAAATGTAACAAAACGTAGGATAATGGTGTCAAATTATAAAACAATATACATGCCCCGCATTGGGAGACTGATTTTTTAAAAACACAGAAAAGTCTTAGGTAGGTACTTATTAACATTTCAAAAACTAAAGTTAACTTATGACTTAAAATTGTTCATTTTTTCTTCTTTTTTTTTACTAATTTTTTTTTTTAGATTAATTTTTTAAAATATTATCATTATTGTTGAAAAATCATTGTCACATAATAGGTCTGTGACATTGATTAGGTTGCGGTCGATCGCTACCGTAGAAGTACAATAAACAATGATGCTGACACGTAGACCGCGATCTCGTTGATGTTCAGTGATTGAGCAATGTTTATGGAAGGCGAGTTGCTCGATGCTGGAAAAATAATTAAAAATAAATATTAGTAATGTAAAACGGTGGTTTTCATGTTATTTTCTACGCACATAGGTACAGATAAATAGAACCGACGAGAGTAATAAACAGTAATTGAACAGTTTAATTTATATGTACCAGCAATATTCCAGATTGTATATAGTAAAAATGTCAAAAAAAAGATGTTTAAAGATGTCGATATCTTAATTTTATATTAGCATGTCCTTTAAATTTATTTGAAGATATTGTTTTTTTATGAAAAATTATTTTCTGGTATCGTTTTGTTTTATAATATGTCATATAATAATAATAATATTGTTTATCGTTCAAACTAAATATACAGTAATACAGTATAGAAATAAGTAATAAAATATCAAATAAAAGAATAGTTGCAATAGTATAAATAATATTATAACATCATAATACAATATTTATAAAAACAAAAGCCAATAAAATAAAATAAAATAAGAAGTCCAGTAAGTGGTTGGAAACTTAGAAACAACTAAGTAATATTAAGAAATTGTTAAAATAAAAATAAGATGATCATAAAACAATTTTATTGATGATTATTAATATAAATGTATTCTTACTGGGATAGTTGAAAATCTTTTAACATTTTGTCACCAATATTTAAACCAAAAAATCTCACAGCATGAACATTTAATATAAAGCTTTGTACTTCAATAGCTATTAATCGGCAATCGCTATATAAATTTGTGTAGGTGGCTGATTCTGTTGTCTACATTTTCTAGTACATTTTAGGAAATTTTAGTCTGTTCATAAGTATATAATTTAAATGAAACTTATACATTTAAGCAAATTTAAAACTTCAAATAATTAAACAATCCATTTTTGTATTATATTTTGTTGGGGTACACGTTTCTTCATTAACGTAATATAATTATATTTATGTTTTAGGTTAATAAAATCAAATATGTTCTATAGTAAGTTGCAGCATTTCTTAGAATCTGTATGTTGTACCTACACATGGAAGTATTTACTAAGGAATAATATCATATGATTAACTGTACGAACAATTGTATTAGAAAATAACCATTATAGCTAGTACCACGTAATATTATTATTATCTAGACACTAATAATTTTGATCAATACAATACAATACTACAAACATTACACCGAGAACATAAAATGTAAATAAAAAAATAATTATGTAAGTCGCAGTACCTAACTCGATATTAAGATTTAATATTTAAACGGGTCATGCGTAGGGGATAATTATATTATGCGATTTTCCTGAAACCAATGACATTTGCTAGCATTATTGTATCATGATACCAGGTATAACGGGCGAAGGACTTCACAGAGAAACGTATTATTATATTATATTATAAGGTCGCCCACAATGACTATTTCCCGACAGCTGAAAGCCAAAGACTTACCTACAATTTATGGCTGATATATTATATACTATATATATAGTAATCTACATTATTTTGTCCAGTCCTCCTCCGTGCGTATTCTGATCTTCTCCTCCACTCCACTCATAAAATATGGGTGCTCCGAAGTGCAAATCTCCTCATGTCATACGCCTCTTTATTCAAACATATTCCATGTTACGGCTAGCTCGTAATTAACCCCCCCCCCTCACCGCCATCACGAATACATCTGTACCCTACGAATAATACGCTGTAGAATTGAATATTTTGAATTCCATAATTTAATAATCATACCTACCTACCTACGTACCCATTTATTGTACAGATCTTTCTCGAATAAAAAAAAATTATCTCGCTGTAGTAGGTACATCGATTATTGCCCATCCACTAAAATAACACGTTCAACAAATTAAAATCCTCATGCGTTTTATGAATGTACCTATTTCAATTTTTTTATTTCTCATAAATGGAACATATTTTAAGGGTTTTGCGTAATATTATGCTGTTTTCTTGCGTCAATCAGTACGAGGGGTGGCGTTACACTTACCGTGAACCGGATCAGCCCTGGAGTCAGCGTCCTGTTCGTCACCCCCTACCAATCCATCATCGGCAGCCGGCAATGGTAGTCCAGGGACGGGCCGCGGCCGGTGCGCCAGAGCGCTCTGCTCCTTCGACTTCCAGTATACGGTGCCCAGCGTGGCCACGCATTTGAGTTTCATGTCCCGGTCGAGCCTGTTCCGGTGCTGCTGGTGGCCACCGGAGCCCGGCAACCGGAAGTGCTGCATCCCAGCCTCGAACTTGAGGCCCAGCGTGGTGACCATCAGCCCCTCGCGACCGACGTAATCCGTGTACGGGCCCCGCAGATACGAAGAGTTTACCTACGAAAACGAGTATCATATTATTATTTATATCAAAATATAACATAGACACGTATATTGGATTATTTAGGGTGGATCCCGGCGTTGAGTTGCATGCACTACTGGCCAATGCCAGAGGTCGATAGCGACGAAACCGGAGATAACTTGATTTTTTTTTAGGTGGGCGGTGGTGTGTAAAAATAACAGGGCGCAAACAAAACCTTAAGCCACAGACATTTTTCTAAGAAGAGCTGAGAAGGGCATTGATCCCCATACCCACTTTTTTAATAGTTAAAATTTTCATAGAAACAGTTTTTTTATAATTTTTTTACATTAATTTACATTAAATTAATCATAAATGTAAATACCATTAACTGCAATAATGGTAAAATTTACATTTTACTATGATATTACATATTTGTATACAAATATCAAAAATGTGTGTCATCGATTCAAGATCTTAAATGTATTCTATATTATCACGGAGTCCCACCACACCTAATTATTTTTGATTACTTTAGTAAATTTCTAATAATTTCTGCCCGCTACAAAAATGTGTGCCAAATCGCTAGCTCCATGTATAATTATTGCTACCAGGCCATCGATAAAGTAAAATTATACATTATGTTTAGAGAAAATTATTTCAATCGGTTCGTGGATTAAATTATGACAAGTGTTATTGGATTATGTATATATTTGATGATTCACTTAATACAAATACTCATTAATTCAAAAACAATTAATGATTATGTTTTTGAAAGTATTATATTTTAGATATTTTTAAATATTCACAAAGCAATATTTTTGAAAAAAAAAACAGTGAACAATTATTATTTTCAAAATAATGAGTGTTTTTCGAGAAATAAATACATGTTCTATAGTAGTACAAAATATATCTATAATTTTGTTTTATTTTAAATTTATTTACGAAGAACAGATATTATATTATGGTCTAAATGGTCTACAGTTGTTAAGAATATTATTATAATATTTTAAGTAAGACAGCTGAAACTTGAAATTATCGTTTTATTTTGTTTGACAACAGTTAACAAGAAAAACACAGTTGTGATTTTTCTCATATACCTAAAAGTCCAGCAAGTTTTCAGGTTTTTCATAACGTTAGAGGTTACACGTATTCTTAAGAAAATGTTAGTTACTCAAATGAATTTCCACACTAACCATATTCAAAACTAAATAAATAGTGGTCAAAAAATTATATATTGTATACAGTATACATTTTTAAGCGGTGTAAGCAGATAGTTTTGTTTTTTAAATATGTTTTTTATTGCAGCACAATTTACTTCAATCGAAAGTATTGACAATGACAATAATAATAATGATAATGATAATAATTTTAAAATACATTATTTTATTATAGAAATAATTGCATGCCAACCTGTTCACCGTTGATGTACCAGGCCAGCTGTACGGCGGGTTTTGATCTCCCAGAGGTGCAGTTCACGTTGACAGTGTCGCCTGGCTTGTACCTATCCTGGCCGCCAGATATGCGAGGTCCTTCGTCGGGTGGGGCTGAACAAAAATAAAAATATATACGATATGAATATAAATATATAATAGTTTACAATGACTTTTAATTATGTAAAAATAAAATACTCTTCAAAAACGTTCTCTAGTTTTCTAAATAATGAGTAGGTATAGTTACGTTTATTTTGTTTACCTACAAGTTGTGAAATTAATAATATTATATTAAAACCCCGAGATGAAAAATGCCAAGTATTTGGAAATATGGTGGTCTTTGAGCACATTTAAAATTCCGGAAATCCGAATTTTAATAAATGCATAGATATAACGAACCAGGAGTAAACGTGTGATCTCCCCCAATATTATATTATTACTGTATAGGCTACGGCCGAGTTTTTCCATATCAGCCATAACTGTATAAGGGCTATCGACGACAACTACCAATCCGGTTTTATAATGTATATATATATATAATATATAAGTTATGCCCAATAATAAGAACGCGCATCGTACACGGACTTTATTAAATTCTGAGGAACGTTATTTAATACGTTTCGGCTGTGCAGGAGACGTTTCGAATAAAATGCACGTGGAAATGTTTACGTCGATATCAATACGCGATTCGAGACTTTTCGCCGGCGGTAATCCCACGCGTAAACTCTATATACGTATAGGTACGACTGTACTCGTATATAGGTAGGTAGTTTTGTGGTTTAATTTTTTTTTAAACTAGTTCCATGCCGGTGGAAAAAAATATTGTCGCAACTCGGTGTCCAACGCCGACATCGTTAATCAGCCTATTCGAAAAACTTTTACTCGTTTTACAACTTTTTCTTGTCTAGCGATATTGCGAAATAACATTTCATTATAGAAGTTTGAAATGTCTATGAGAGGCATCGCAACTAACTGCCACCGGAACTTGTAAACGAAATATTTATTATCTCTGTCAAGTCGGAGAAGAGTGAGAAGACCAACCTAATTTCGACTTTTAGTCGGGAAAAAAGTTTTTTTGTTTCAAACGGGGATCATTAACTTTTGGACATTTATTTATAACAAAAAAAATATAGAACACTATGATAATGCGAACAAAATTTATAATATTAAAACGGGGTGACTCGGAAAAAAAAAATACAAAAGAAATATTGCATCGGGGTTCAAAAAGATTAAAAAATTCAGTACTAGTTTTTAAATTTTTCATTTTTTAAAATGAAGAATCTTTTCTTTCGTTACATCCTGGATGTATTAAAAACGATTACTATAACATTATTGTGCTAAATTTTATACAAATTGAAATAAGGTTTGGGGTAAAATAAATACAATGTAAAATGTTGGTAAATAGTATATACTATATACAGTGGGTACTAATAATTTTAGGTTCTAATTTATTTTTGGATGCAATCATTGCAGCTTTTCAAATGAAATGTAAGTACTACGCACATAGTTATCCTGAGCTGACGGTTAACATAGCGAGATGGATTCTTAATATCCGGTTTCTGTATCCTGTCTGGATTATTTTTATTTGAATTTCCTTCAACTTTAAATCGTATAAGCTGTTACCTCCAAAAACGATGTAAACCCACTCTGGCTAAAATTCAATAATTTACATTCAGTTATAGGGAGGGAAAAAATCGATAGTTATACTATCTAAATACGATTTTATAATATTAAAAAATTCACTACATGGTGAGTTATCTCATTGATGTCGGTTATGTTACTGGAATACGACACATTATGAAACATATTATGTTATTATGTTCAATAATTTTCAATCTAAAAACTAAAACGTGTTAGTAGGTAGGTACATAAATTTGTATTCAAATGTTTTTACAACATACTCAACAATAAACAACTTTAATTTGTAAAATTGTTATCATACACATAGGTATAAGAAACATAATACAAGTGTGGGTTTCTTAAAACGTATCTTCTAAAGCGACCGAATCAAATATTATCAAGAGTTGGTAGGATGTTCTGTCCCGATCTTAACTTTTAAACCTGAATGGTACCAGCTATAAAAGATAACACGACATTTTGTAACTTCAATAACATTTAATATAACAACGGTATCGCGCATCCATTACGTTTTGTTATAGGATACCTACTCTGTATTATTACCGGTAGGTATTTTAATGAAATGCCATCAAGCGGCAAGTCATATATATATATTGATTTATTTTCAAGAAAAAAACGTAAGGAGTCATCGTGAAATCCATTGCAAAAGATAAATTCTGCTTACACGAGCGCGTGCTCGCACACATACACACGTATATTTATAGTTTTTTTTTTTTTTGTCTCCGGCAATAAACATTTAGAAACGTAATCGTAAACGTCGTAATGATCCTCCGCCGTTAGCGCATATAATTTACCAATCGAATCGATTCGGTCTACCTATATCTGTGAGATTACGCGCATAAGTGTATATCCACCGAGACAGCGGTGCACATATATATATATACATATATATTATATAAGTAATATACTTGTCTCCCACCTTCAGTTCGAGTGGTAGACAGTGGCGCGCTCGAGAGGGTCGGATTGAATTGGATCGCCTGAGACAAAGGCGCGCCACCGAGTTAAACCAATTTGCACGTGCGACGACAATATTCTCGTATATATCGGGTTTTACGAGGCGCCGGGGACCGAAGACTACGGTGGATGTGTATTGTTCCCGGTCGTTTAAAACGCACTAAGGTTGAATAAATATTTGGTCGAGTACCCGGAGACTTTTACGTGTAATATATACTCTTAGGTCCTTCGCTCTCTCTGATCCTGCAGTATAATAAACGTGTCATAATATGCACCTCGTTGACGACGTCGAAGGCGATTGGGAGACGGAAGATGGTAACCTAAATACAATCGGCGACCATAAATGTTGTTCTCCTGGTAAAAATGTATTGTTTTTTCGCGGAACGAAACGAATCACAGACAATTACAACAAAAAATCATCAAAGGAATTTTATAGTATTAACGTCTTAATCATTATTCTACCTGGGTGAAATTCATTTGACAGCGCATAAAATATAGAGCAGACGTTTTAAATTAATGGAATTTAATAATAGCTATGCACTGGTTAGTAGTCTGTAGTAGTAGTAGTAGAATTTTGAATAGCTCGAATATTGTTAAAAACAATTCCCGTCACTTCCGGACTATAGTATTTAATATAAGTATATTACTTATTTACCTACTCTTATAATAGCTTTATATAATATAACAAGTTATGATTCCGCGGCCACGACGTTACTCTAAAAAGTAACAAATGTAAAACTTATACATTTCTATATAAGTCACCTCGACACACATTTTGAAAATGTTCCATTACAAACTTTACATTTCATGAAATAATAAACTTGGAAAATATATAAATATAGTGTAATTAATTATACTACGAGTTGATTAGGTATTGAAAAAACAAATGTGCATGTGGCTATTGAGTGAATTTCATGATTCAGTGGTGTACATTAATTAAGCATTTATATTTTGCTCTCAACTTTAGTTAGTAACAATTATTGATCGCTGTGGCTAAAAAACTTTTTATATGGTTTAATTTTGAAGCATCTCTCCTCTCCTGCGTATGATTTCACGGGGCAAACATAAGTGATTCATTTGATTTCAAAGAATTGATATAAAAAACCGCAAAGCAAACAATAATTATTTATATTTTATGACGCAATAAAACGTAAAATCATTATCGTCTATTTGAGGTAATATTTTATTCAGTTCCTTAGCCTTTTTAATGAATTTGTTTTATTTACGGACCCATAAATTTATTTGCTTACTACATTTTTCATCCTTAACGTTTGTGTTGATCTGTTAAAATTAATGATTTTTTTCTTCTCAAAACAAATAGCTGTTTAAGCGACCGAGATAATATATTTTTAGTGTTACGAACAGTTTTCATTAATGTATAGCATTGAACAGAATCTCTAGTTTTGAGTTTTAGATATTAGAAACACGTTATATAATTATTATTACAGTGATTAAAACGAAACTTACCAACTGTAAGCATAGAGCTGTGATTGGTGACCGTTTGGAACGACGGCGCTTCGGCTGAGACTTCACAGCGGTATTTGCCGCTACTCGCCAATTCCAGGGGCCTCAAAACAACGCTTTCTGCAGTTGACTGTTTCTCCTGAAATTAAACAAACCGGTAACGATGTTGTATTATCTTGCAAATCGTCTACAATAAGCACACCAAACGCAAATTGTTCACGTTCTTTGGTATTAACCTAGTTATTGATTTTCAAAACGTGTATTGCATGTACCATGTGGCATACGTCTGTGGCAAGTACAGGATACGTGACGAAAATACCACCGTGGAGTTAATAACGATAATAATAGTTATTATTCCTCTTATGGCATAATATCCACACACATATAATATGTCGCACCATGTAGTAAGATCGCATTTAATTTACCGTCAAATGCGAGTGCTATAGTTTCTATTAAATTAAGACCGTGATAATGGCTTTGCGAGGTGCGCACCCTAATATTCAGAGTGTATAATAATATGTCGCCGGAAAATGCATATTAGTGGGTTCTTGCCAAACGTCTTCTAACCACTCCCATTGTAGCCACAACCAACCTTTTACCACATACCTAACCCGAATTCCCGATCTACAGCTGGATGGCTCATCACGTAACGTCCTTGTGTTATATGTAAAACACCCGTTTACTGAGTTGAATCAATTACATCCATCTCCTTTATGACGTATATTATAATATATTGTTATTGAAGAATAATATTAAATATAATGTAAATACCACGTGGCGAATTATTTCCGCAGTGGATATGGTTTATGAAGCTCGCTAAAACAATGCCATAAAAAAAAACAAACAGTATCGATGGACAAAACTTTTTAACTACCCCAAACGACACGGATGCCTTTTATTGATGATTTGGTCGGAGGGTTGTGCTTTTCCCCCACGAATAAATGTATAAACATATCGTCTTTCAATAATGTTGCCATGTGTAATGTTGTTGTTCTATTATAATGTTACAAAAAATATATATTATACATCGCAAAATTTGTATGGCAACTTATTCTTATCAACCAATACAAGTTCATTCACTTTATTTAGGCATGTAAAATCACGTCTATCATGTAAATGTATACATAATACACAAACATATAATCGACATCTAATTAATAAAACTGGTGGTTATAGATGCATTATGTGTTATGTTAGGATTATGTTCACCAATTTTACTATGGAACTATTGCACAACAGATGGCATAGAATACGAAAATAATTCTCAGAAAGTCACATTAAAAGTCAAACACAAAAATAAAGTTAAAGGGCAGATCAATAGGTTTCAGATTGTACTTGAGGCGAGGATTGAAGAAAAAAAACAATTAAATGTATTACATCCACCGTCGTTTGTTCAGTGCACAGTGCACACATAATATTATTCTGTTCCATAAAGAAACTTAAGCCAATAGACGAATCTAGACTGCTCCACTTTCTTGTAAAAATAACTATTATCAATTAGAAGTTCCCTGGTTAAATGAATATCAATAATATTATATAATCAATTTTGAGCGTACAATAAAAAGAATATAATATGAAAGTATACCGAACTAATTTTAATATTTTGTAACACGGCGCTTCGTATATGCAATTTCACTACTACAATGTTTTTTTAAAATATTAGTGAAATATGCCACGATAAACCGCTGTCGTAATAGATAAATCACTAATAATATATATATAATATATAAGTACACATAATGTTTAAGTTAAAATGTTAACGGTTACATAATATTATAATAAGATGATAGATTATGATAAATTTGACATACTCACCTACATATTCATGTCAAACACCAACACCTAATATTAAATGCTTAAAAATCATACTTCGACTATATTATAGGATTAGTTTAGTCTATGATTATAACAATTATATAATATAAACTATCCATTATGCCTGTATTAAATTCGCAAAATTATTTAGAATACAAATATTTAATTCAATCTCGTACAATGAAAAATCCGACCGAGTTATAATGATATAGTATATTTTGTCACCATCCGTAAATTATAGTAAACCGTGTACCGTTATCTTGATACACGAGCAGACGACTACTGTATAATTCAAAAATGGGAAGTGAAGGTGATTTCCGCAAACGAAAAATCAGGATGCTTGGATAATAAAAAAAGATATATAGTCCATTTATTTCGTTATTTTGAGTACACGTTCGATTAGTGCGACATTAAATCTAATGTAAATCAACCAAGTATGATTTCATATAATATGTAGATTGAAAAAATCTTATTTTATTTAAGATGGTATATTCTAATATATTTGCGTAATATCCGAATCAACAAGATTGTTTAGTTGGTGACGGTTCTACCAAATCATTATACAGTATACAGAAATAAACTTTTACCTAAATTAAATCAAAATTGTACAAATGTATAGAATTTATTATATATGTTACGAGCAAAGTATACGTCATGTTTTTGCTATGAAATATATAATAACTTTTATATATACGCACTATACACATACATACAGGGTTTATTTTTAACATGGAAATCATTTTAACAGTAAATATACCTATTATTATATTACTATGATTTGTATTCTAATAGACTTAAAATTCTTTTTTAACATAGCAATTTTTATAGCTGTATTATTATTTTAAATATCTACAAATGCTATTTTTTATATTTTATTGTTGGATTTTTGGATTGTAGATTTGTGGACAGTTAACACTTTTACCCATATTATAAAGAAGACTGAACTAGTATTATATATAACTTTATATGTCTAAGACATTTAAGTTTGGTTAAGATATCTAGGTATAATAGGTAAGACATGTACACATTTATTTACTATTTTATATAAAAATATACATCAAAAATTTTTTTGTACATATAATTACATGCATAAAAATTGTATTGAATTTCTTATTGTAAAATTATCTATAAATATTTTATTTTCAAGAGATCATTAAAAAAATTTTTTGGATTTCGTCAGCTATTTCCGAAGCGTGACGAAAAACAGCCTACGTATAAATGAAATAATAGTGAACATGTGAAATGTGTGGAAAACTGTTTGGATGAAATCGATTTTTGTTATATTGTTTTAATTTATAAATCTTAAATGTTTAATATTACATTTATTTACTTGTCAAATGACGTAGTATAAATTATAATTAAATAATTAATATAACATAATATATCAATAATTATCGTTTTATAAACAAAATCGTTTAAATTAAATATCTACAATAACGATAAGAACAAAAATTAATGAATATATCACTTTCAATATAAAAATAATTTATTTTTAAGATGTTACTATATTTGTTTAAATTAAACATTCTTTTTTATAATTGCGTTTTTATTGATGTTTTACAGTGATTATAAAAGCTTTTTGCAGGAAGAGTGTTTTAGGTTTTTCACCGAATAATACATACTTTGCTTTTCAACGTTTTGGTAAGTTTACTTTTCTTAAGATGTTTATCGATTAAAATGGTATTTTTTCATGTTTTGAGTCTTTACAATATTTAAAAAAAAATTAAACCTCTCATTTTTTTAACGAATTTTCCAGACGAGTGTTTATTTTTCCCAAGGATCAACTTCAATTTTCTTGAAAAATATATATTTGTATTTATTTTTTGAATTGATAACTTTGTGTTCAAATATAAATTTAGTTTAATACACTTAAAATCACTTTCATTTCATATCTATTATCTAAAAATGCTCAGGGCGTTCACAATTGAATGAAAAATTAATTTAAATCAGGTTGAATGTGAATTGGTTTGAAAATATTTTTAAAATTGAAAGAATTTAAACTTTCATATGTAATTTATGCAAACAAAATAGTTTACAATTTGAATTATTAATTTATAAATAGTTAGAATACTCAATTTAAGTTGCAAACGTCAAACATAATATCATTGTATATTGTTTCATTTAAATTGTAACGTGTCTGAAACTTCAACTTATATATTAGTATAATATAATAATATTATAGTAAAATGACTGTATGCAGACGTCGTAAGACACTTGTTGGTTCTTAAAACGACTGACCCAAGAGAAATAAAACGAAATCATCGAAGACAAAACTCGAATAATATGATTCCCTTGTAATGTTGCATTTATAACTGAATGTGTATGTTAATATTATACGAACTGAAATTGAAAATTCCACACAACAATAGCGATATTATAAAGATGTATAAGCACGACACCGATAAAATGGAAAAATCAGGTACGCATACATACCTACTTTTGGAGCGAAAAAAAAAACGACATAAAAAGCAACGGTCAAGTCTTCATTTATATTTAACTTGGAGTGCGTGTTTTTTTTTCTTTTGCTCATTTTTTTTCACTTTTTTCATCCTTTTTCCGATGGATTTAACGGGGTGCTTGTGTATATGTGCTGCGTGCTCGGTGACGGGGGTGTGTTTGCGTTTGGCGAGGGCTCTAAAAGGAGCGACGACATCATGAATATGTTTGCGCACGAACCCGCATTAGCCTAAACCTACGTATATATTGTACGGACGAGTTTTCAGGATTTATTTTATTTTTGTGTACAATATATACTTCTTATATTCAATATGTGTTTACTACCCCCGGAACCATCCTCCAACCGGCACCACCACCTTCTCAGATATTATAACTTTGTGGGTCATACACCCCCGTTACATACAACAATTGAGCATTAATATAGCAAGTAACGTGCTCCGAACTGACCATGCGTGGGACAACACAATTGGAGACGTGCCGTTATAGTATAATAAAATGTTGAATGTTTGAGAAAATCGATAAACTATTTTACTATATAAAGAACACGTCTATTAATAGCAATAATAAGTCCACTATGTATAAATACAGCATCAACTGTAGATATTTTCGGATAAAATACTTTTTCTGTCTACCCTATTCGGAGGTAAGTGAAAGTACGTCCTGTAGAAGTTAAAAAAATATATTTCATTGTGCTTATAAACTTCTATAAAATCTCAATATTTCTGTTTTAATTTTATGTTATCAGCTGAATCATCATCTTATTTCGATAAATATTTAAAATAATCTGATTCAATGTATCTCATGTACCTGTGATAAGTTTGCGCACCTGCATATTATGTTTATTCACTTTTGTATAATGTATCGAAT